AAAAATTGCATTTGCCCAATCGGAAAGCAAATCGCGCGCCAATTCTAATTCGCTTGCCGAATTTTGATTGAAGGTCAGCGCAAGGCGCCAGCTGCGACGTCAGCGTCCGACTCCTAGTCTGACTTCAACATCGCCATCGACATCGCCATCACCATCGAAATCGACTTTGACTTCTTCTGCAGGCTGTGGACAAACGACGACTGACTACGCGGACTCTAAACGGGGTGCCGCCTGAACCTGAACCAATTTCTCGGCATTTGTATTGCGCTCTTGTTTTTATTATTGTTGTATCTGCGGCATCGATGCGTGCGCCGCTGTCGTCCGTGTTGGCTCACATGATGTCATTACTTTTGGCAGGCCAAAAAGCGAACGGGGGTTTTCAGTTTTTCTGCTTAGGTACCCCGTGCCACAAGCGGCAAGTGTATGTTCAGCTTGATTTTTTATTTCGCTAAATGTTTCCAATTCTGCAGAAATATTCATTTGAGTTCCTCAGCCTAACACTATATTAAATTTAATAAAGATAAATATGTATAGATATTGTTCAATTATTTCATATCCTTTGAACAAAACACCTTCATAAATTTAAGTACTACAGAAGTTGGGGTTTTTGTGATCATATTATCATATTATTGATAAGTCCCTAACCCTTTGGTTGAGTGAATATATGCCTAAGCTTTAAAAATGTTTATGACAACATTAGCAATAAAACGAAGTAATTAAACTGCATTTTCTGCTCTAACCGGAAGAAATCAAAAATAGAAAACTAGTGAGATTTGGCTTAATTAAGAACTGTATTGCAAGGTATCTGCCAGTCGGGCACTCAGCTTTGCTCCTTGCGATTTTTCAGTAATTTTTTTTTTTGCCATGTCGGGTGGTTGTTTAGTTTAATTCGTGACGGCGTCGTTGAGCTGCAAACTTTTCACGTGAGAGTAAAAGCGGCGTCGCCGGCGCTCTAACATTGTCGTTGGCGTCGCGTCGCTAGATGCTGAGTGCTACTGCTGCCGCAGCCGCTGTCGGCGCTGGCGATTTGAATATGTTATGATGTTGCATGTTGCTAACTGGTTTGGTTTATACTCGCGTATTATTCTCTATTGCGTTTACTTCCGAGTTCAATGTAAGCGGCGTCGGCGTAGCTGCTGCTGCTGCTGCTGCTGTTGCCGTTGGCGGCAGCAGCTGCGTTGCGCAACCGCCCACACGCGTGTACGCCCGACGGCTCTTGGTGTATGTGTCCGTGTGTGTGAGAGGTTGCGTCGTGCAAATATTTTGCTTTGCTAGCATTTGCACCCACTTAGAGGCAATGGCAACCCCATCTAAACACCGCCTCGCCCCTGCCACCTCCTCAGTGCTCACATCTGTCCTCATTGAGTGCTTGCCGCTTTGCCGGCAATCTCAAACGCACACATGTTGCTTCGTTTTTAGATTTAGACGGGTTTTCAACCACAACAATAAAAGGAACAACAAAACTTTGGCACAAAAAGCGCGATCGTGTTGCAAAACAGGTGGCAGAGGCAGCGTCCAACCAGGAACCATCCTGGATACTATTTTTTTGTGCACATCACGACTTGGACTTGTTGCGACTAAAAACTCATTGAAAGTGGTAGGATATTGTGTGTTTTTTTTAAAGAGCTATACTATAAAGAATGCAACAAATGCAGCTTTTTTAAGATTGCAATAAGTCAGTATTATCTATTGTTAATGATGAGGATAATAACTATATACATAGGTATTCTTTTAAAGCTACTATTACATATATTACAAGTATCATTTCTTACGTTTCAATTCATTAACAAGTAAGCCGGAAATCAGACAAATGAGGACTAAGAAAAGATATCGAGCACGGTTTTACAAATATCACTGGCTTATTATAAAAGCTTTTCATAATAATTTATTCACGATGGTACATATGTATAGATCCCTTTAGGTGAAAAATATTGATTTTGAAGCAATAAGTTTTCATTACATAATACAATCAATTTCTTCTTATCTTAATTATCACCAATCTAGGCCAAATATTACCTATTCAAAGGCCTATGGACAGGTATAGAACAGTTCTCAGCACCGTTACTCTGTTATATCTATGTATCTGTTCTTCTACAACAAATATTAAGTATAAAAAACAATTGCAATACGAGATTATTCTGCAGTTATTGATCACAGACAATAAAACTTTCCAAATTATTCTATGTCTAGAATCTCGTTTGCAAATGTACGTTCAATATTCAAAATTGCTTTCAAACTATGCCTAACTAACGAGCAAAAGCATACATATGTATGCAAAAACAAACATATAATTTCTTCTGATAGTTGGTATTGAAAGTATTGTTTTTGTTGATTGTGAAAGTAGGTCTGCTTATCTTAAATACTGCCAAAGTTTGTTAATCTATATTAGATGTTAAGTATAAGAACAAAAGTCTCATACTTGATAAGACAAAACGTGCTCGTACTAAAAACGATTCTGCAGAATATAATTGCGTTTGCAATACATGTTACATGAATAAAAACTTTGATAAGAATTAGGATTTTATTTTAACTAAGGTAAACCAGAATACACGATAGGAGCTTATAAATGTAAGGACTATTATGTTTCTATGAACTATTAGATAACTATGATTTAGAAAGATTTGCATAACCATTGCATGTGTCATGGGATATAATAAATATATCCAACGAATTCCCGTAATTCCCATAACAATAGTCCTCTTAACTGTCCCAAATTGCCACTTAACAATGCAGCCCATCAACCTACTGAGGCAGCTCTGACCTGACCAGCTGTACAGAGCACAGCAAACTGATACTGATAAGAGTATTCATTCAAACAGGAAGCAGTTGCGGTGGCCACAGAGGCCAGGAACAATCGGAAAGAGAAGGAAAACAAACATTGCCAACGGCTTGAACGGCAATCGAACTTATGGAGAACACGTTCCAAGCATTGCTGCACTTGTTTGAGAGCGAACCACTCGATCTCAATCGCGATTGATCGCCTGAGATGCCTTTCCGTTCATTTCCGCTTTGCTATATTGTTTTTCGCAGGCGAAACAAAAGCAACAACAACAACAGAGATACTCGTAGACATCGCCATTTAAACAAAGATAAAAGGCGCCCAATCGGAACCGAGCCGCAAGCACACAGCGATCATCGGAGCAAAGTGAAAAAATATTACACCTGATTGCCTTGAAAAACCTAAATCAAAACAAAGCAAAATCAAATGTACGGCGAAAAACGTACATATTTGCGGCGACGGCGAGGCAATCAAACAGAAAACCGATCAGCCAACATGTTCTAACTGCGTCGCCAACGTCGCTGCTAAATAAATGCCTCTCGCTCGCTGCCGCAGCATCCACTTCCTACTTCGAACTAGCAAAAGCTGCGCTCAGCAGCGGACAAAAGCAAGTTTTCAAAGCTCAATTGCTGTGTTGTGTGTGGCAGCACAAAATTGCAGAGAAATTCCTTTGGCTTAATTAGCCTCTTTCGTTCGGGGCGAAAATATTTTCAACTGAGAAAAGCAAGAAAGCGGCACAATAGCAAAGCAACGATAGCAACAGCAACACCAACGGACAGTAGGCAGGAGGGTAAAAACAACTCAGAGCTGAGCTCAGCGTGGTTCAGCGCAGCAGCGCACAAATGAAACCAGTTTAGTTCATTTCGTTTCGTTTCGTTCATTAATTCAAAATTTCCATTTGAAACTTTTTTGTGTGTGTGCTCCGGCTCTGGCTCTGGCTCCGGCTCCGCTCTGCCGCAGTCGTTGCCGTTGCCTGCCAATTCCGCTGCTCTCTGCCCTCTGTCTCTTCTTGCTCAACGCCATCGTCATAATCAGAGTTTTAATATTTTATATACAGTGGGCCACAGTCACCACTCGCCCGAGCAACCCCAGTGTACACAAAATGCTGATATAACAGGCAGCAGCGCTGCCAGCCAGTTCTTACTGTATATACACAGACTTCATACCCTCGCACAGATATTCACACACACACACACGCACTCATACAGAAACATGCACATATACAGAGAGCCGGAGCTCGTTTTCGTTAAACCGACGTTCGTTCGCTCGGCTGCCTCTCCCACAATCGCAATGCTTTTGACTCACACCGCTGCCTCTGTTATATACATATAACCTACAAAAATATATAGCTACGGCTCTGGCTCCGGCTCTGGTGCGAGTGCCGAGTAAATGCGATACGATATTTGTGCGGCGCATCGTGTGCGCTGTCAGGCGGTTCGCCATGGTGATGGCGATTTCGGTGCAGGGGCCGGGGCAGGCAGGCAGGCTGGCTGGCAGACAGGCGGCGTAACATCAGCAGCGCCAGCAGCAGCAGCAAAAGCAACAACAACATTAATACAACTGAATAGGGTTGTCAAACATCCAAAAGGCCATCGGCATTGAACTCATATTGTGGGTGTATATTTTTTGTTTTTACCGTTATTAATAATGCTATGTAGGTATACTAGATAACGTTATATTGCATATTTCTTAAATTATTTATTTCCCCACTTAACTGTACATTTAAATCATGGAAAAGCACGATACATTTGGGATTAAATTAGACAAACAAGTTTGACGGTTAATTCACTAAATATGTCTTAAAGAAAATAATAAATAGAGAGAAATAACAAATTCAAAAATAAAATCATTGAAGAAAAATTCTTCATATAACAATAAACTAAATAATTCTAACCACCTAAAATTGAAATTGAAATACACATACATACATACGTGCATACAGATACAAGACCTAAGATATATACATAGCTACTAATTTCCACATGTATCTTAACCAAAAACGAATTAAATGAAAAACATCTGGTAGTTTGAACAGAACACCTGACAACCCTGATGCTGGCATACTATCGAGTTTTATATGTCTGTACATGCGCTGACGCTGTCACGGCCTCTGCCTCCGCTTCTGCCTCCGCCTCATGCCTGGCCCCGTCGCTTGCCTGACTGACTGACGCTTGCCTCAGCGCGTATGTGGGAACGAAATAATACCTATAAAAAAATTCTTTTTTCCCTCGGTTTTTTGCTGCTGCTGCTGCTACGACAACGAAAAAGAGAAAGACTTGTGGGTAGAAAACCAACAAAGTAAGACTATAAAGTACGGCGCAGAGCGCACCAGAGGACTTGGAATGGCAGCGGGGGTGATGGTCGGTGTGGCGAGGGGATGGCGTTGGCAGCGGCAGCGGCAACAGCAAACAAAATTTAAGATACTTTTTCGTTTGAGTGGATGTGCAGCAGCTCTGGATGCGAGATCTGCGAGCTCTTGGCTCTGGCTGTTGGAAACATGTTGAAATGAAATTGGTGAACGACGGCAACGGCGACGGCGACGACGACGCTGCTGTTCGAGTGCCGGTTCGGGTAATGGGCCTCTGCCGCGGGGGTGGCTGCTAAATATTTGGCAGCATTTTGCTATTACATTTTGCTACTAGTGTGTGCGAGTGTGTGCTTGTGTCTGTGTACATATGTGTGTGTGCGAGTCTGTGTTGTAGATGATGTTGCTCGCCGTCGCATCCGAAAAACTTTGAACATGTTCGGCTGCTGTTGTGTGCTAGTTACTCGAAAATATCACTAAAAATGCTGCAGGTTTGGCGCAGATGAATGTGGAACGCCAGCCGCCAACAGACGTGGACGACCCAAGACCCGAGACCAGAGACAAGAGACCGAAAACCAGAGACCAGAGCGACCAGCTGTTGGCCTTGTGCTGTTAATGCCTTGCAGTTGCTCTAGCTGTATCTGGCATTATTTTTGGAGATGTCGGCGACGGCGACGGCAACGGCGTCGTTGGCGGTGGCGGCGGCGGCGGCTGCGATGTCTGTTGTTGTCGTTTCAGCCCCTCTGATGGATGACTCGACACAACGCTTGACTCGACTCGACTCGACTCGACGCTATTGAGTAAAAATGATCAAAACAACAAAATGTGTATGCGACTGGCTATTTTTGATTTGCTGTTTGGGAATTTTAACTCTGTTGAAACGATCGTGCGTCCGCCTGCGAGACCTTTACATATAGAATTCCAGTTGGAGGCATTGCAGATCATTGATAAATTTAATCAGGTGCAACAAAACATCTTAGAATGTTCTTTATAGAAGCAGGCAAAGCTTTAGGAATAGGTACATATGTAAATGCATTCAAATAACCGAATACATTTTAAACATTTGTCCTGGCTAAATTCTGAACTCTTGAATTAGTTTCACAATCGAATTTTTAAAGAAAAGAAAGAATTGGGTCGTTAATCTTCTATCTATCTCATATCCTTGAATTCGGCGGCATTTTATTTGATTTAAAATCATCTCTGTTGTAGCATTAAATGGTAAAGTTATAAGATATATTGCAAATATATATATCGGATTCAAAAATATATACGAAGGATGGGCGTTCTAATTGACCAAAATTCTAATTTGTAAAAGAGTCATAGCAGAGACCATATTTGTGTTATATAATATAATTAATTAATATCATTTTAAATTTTAGCGTGTCGACCCATATTCAAAAGGAAATATTAAAGAAATTTGTATTTCATACTCATGGCCTCTTTTAAATTGAAAATTTCTCGAGAATATAATGTTTAGAGCATTATAGTAGTTATCAATTATAATCTTCAGATTAGGATTTCGGCTAAAAATCAAACCTATGAAAAAAATCAATCTATGAATATATAGTTTTCCAAAACCATATGTCAACCCAGAACCTTAAGCTTCTAGGATGCAGATCCTCTTTAGTACTTTTCTAATCTTGGCCCTATATTTAATATATTATATCCAACCCTTCCACTAGTTGAGCCATTCTACTGTTCCTCTCCCATTCTCTTAGCCTGTCCTGGGCTTCCCACTCCGATTAAAGTTGGCCAAGAGCTGGTAGCTAGTAACAACTTTACTGCTGCTGTTGCGAACAGCTTTGATGATTTTACAGTTGCCATCCCAACTACCAATTCCGTGCCTTTGTTGGACTTACACACACGTGGCCACCCACTCTAACGGCTTTATTTCACTCTCTCTCTTTCTCTCGTCGTGGCTTATGCACACGGGGTGCAGCAGCGTATTATGTTGCGCTCCACTCGAAGGAAGAAATGCGATTGCCGATTGAGGTTATAATGGATTTCGACAGTCCAAGCAGTGCCGACGACGACGGCGACGGCTACGTCGCTGCCTCTGCCGCTGCATTGCCGTTTCTTGCAGTTTACTTTATGAATACGTTCGTTGTTCCTTTTGCGCTTATTAGTTTAATTTGTTTACGGCGCTGCCGATGCCGCAGCCGTTGCCGCTGTCGCAGACGCCTGCAACGGGATGTGGATGCTAGCTGCCAGCCTCCTGCAGTTCGTTGTTGTTTTTTCTCCTTATTGCATGCAACATGCTGCCGACTTTTGTTGCTGTTGTTGCGGCGAACTCACGAGTACGCGAGTGCTCTTGTCGCTCGCCTTTGCCTCTCTTTGGGCCAAAAAAGACTTCAAACAAGTTCGAATTCGCGACGTTGTCGTTGTCGTCGTCGTCGTGCAAGGTGCATTCCCAATCCGATTATGTGTGTGTGTGTGCGTGTTTCCATTTGCATATGCAAAATATTTAGCAGGGCAGCGACGCAGACGCAAACGGCGACGCCGGCGGCAAAGTCGCGCAGCATCAGCCGAAAAATCTCAGACAGAGTCACATGTTGCATTCGACTTTAATTTATGCTCTGCTTTTGCATATGTCGTTCTCCCTTACACACTCGCACTTTTGCTAGACCTCTTTATTGCTTTTGTATAAGTTTACAGTTTAAGCTATCAATGTCAACAGGCAGCGACGTTTGCGGCCACGGTGACAGCGACGGCGACGGCAACGTGAGCATTGACAGACAGGTAGCCATCATCATAGCTCAGCAGGGGTAGGAAGTTGAAGGTCGTTCGTTCTCATACGCACACACACTAGCACACAACACATACAAAACATGCTCACACTCATATTTATTTATTACTTTTTATGTTGTTTTAATGATGACGACGGCGACGTCAACAACGGCGTCTGTCTCTGCTCCACTTCTCGCCTGCTCTACGCGTATGTGCATCTCAGTCTAGCACATGCGTCGCCTGCGTTGTTCCTCTGAGCACTGGCAGCGATTATTTCGGGTTATTAAACCAACCACAGCAGCAGCAACAACAACAACAACAGCGGCCCGACAGCCACTTGCAGTTTTTGAATTGCTGATTAATTTTATTGCCTTTGCCTTGTTGTAATTGTAATGATAAATTCGTTTTTTCGGTTTTTGTTTTGATCACTGGCTTCGCGTGCCGCCAATACAGCACTGCCCCTCTCCTTCACCCATCCCGCTCTCCCACACTCGTTGTCTCTCTCACTACACGTGACGCTATGTTGGGTGGCTGCTTGTGCTTTGCTTTGCCTTTTGGACAATGTCTGCTAACGTCGTCGTCAGCGCCGTCTATAATTTATTAATTGTGCTCAGAACGGCGGCGTCGGCGTCGACAGCGACGTCGCTGCCGATGCCGTTACCGTTGCTGGTGCTGTCGTTAACTTTTTTGTTTTGATACGCGAGTTCGTGCGCCAAAGTGTATGAATGGAAAGTGGTAAAGGAGGGGGCGTGGGTCTGAAAACGAGTTGCAGTTGCGACGCCGTCTGTTAACAGTTAGCTCCTTGCAGGGGCATCATGCACATGCACAACAACAGCAGCAGCAACAAAGCAACAGCTGTTAACCGTCGCGCATCTACATAGTGAAGTCTGGCGATTGAGGTTATGTTTGCATGACACAAAATGCACAATAAATGCAACAAAGTGGTAAAAGCAGGCTATTTTAGGTAGGATTTGAATGAGGCCAAGTTGCAGGATTGCTTAAATGTCTGTTGCCGCTGAAGATTCTGTTTGGGTTTGGCCAGTGTCTAATAATTACCTTCGCAGGAACTAGAAGTAAAAAACCTCGGCTGACCTCAACAGCATCACAGTTAAGATGGAAGTGAAAAAATAATATACATGTTTCAAATTGAAGGTCTTATATCTTAATGGTTCGCTGCACCTATCTTTACCCATAACACGAATAAATACATAAGTGAGTCTTGACAGTCCTAAAAATTTAAGGAAATAATATGTATAATATGTTTTATTTGGCAAAAGAGAGCAATTGTCTTCTTTTTAGTTTTTATTTAATTGCCTTGAAAACCTCAAGATTTAAATCAAAGAAATATTTCTACTTTTTTGCTATGAGGACAGGTAAACCTACTTTGAACATCCAATACTAAGTGATTTCTTAAATTAAACTTATATTTACAATAGAATAATACTTCATTATTATTGCTATTGATATAGTAATTATCTATTTTGAACTTTAAACCCGGATCCGTGTAGTTCACTTGTCAGAATGGTTGGAACTGTTAGCAGCTAAATATATGTTGTAAGTATGCCAAAACTGTCCCCAAACATTATTGCCTATAAATTGGGAGCCTCACTTACTCATATAACCTTTAGCTCTAAAGAGGTATATTACGATCACACATACAATAGAATAATTGATTGCTCAATTTCGCACAGCAACTTTGTGGAGTATCTTGGCTTGCATCTCAAACGTAGACTTATTTGGAAAAATCATATTAAAGAAAAACGGCTGCAACTTAAATTAAAAACACAAAGAATATCCTGGTTGATAGGCCGATATGATGATATCTCAACCTAGCCTGGAAAACAAAGTTGGCATCTGTAAAGAATTACTAAAGCCTGTACGAACATATATATGCTATAGAACTGAGGGGTACTGTTAGAAACTCCATTAGTTTTCTAATGCATGCAAACAAAACAGATCTAGAAAATCCTTTTGTGAAAGAAGAAATAAATAAATGTAGTAAAATTACATTGATAGATTTGACAACCACGAAACTAACCTGGCATTCAACTAACGGTTAATAGTCTAGTAGTAAGAAGACTTATAATATAGATAGATAAAACGAATGAGAGCAACTTCAACCTAACATACAAATAAGTTAAATATAATAGAAGGTTTTACTGGAAGCTTTCTATTCCCGTTAATTTTAATTACAACTTACTAATTTTACTTATTATCTTAAGATAGAGTATAAATAAATAAAATGATAAAACATATAAGTAATCTTTTTTGATTTCTACTCGACAGTTTGGCTGCGTTTGATTGTCATTTAATAGAAAACCAAAATTACGTATGTGCCGCCTCGCGCGGCTCGGTCTCGTTTGACAATTTCAATGGTTTTTCTCACGCTAAGCAGCGCTGCTGGCGCCAACAGCGACGGCGACGTCCGCGTCGGCGCCGGCGTGTCTTTTATTCATTCATGCCTCGGCCTTTCGTTTGTTTGGTTTTTTCATTCATATTTATTTATTTAGCTAATAATATAAGTCAAATCGAAATTATTTATGATACCGGCATCGGTATCGACGTCGGCGACCCGGTCACGGCACGGGGGCCCAGCTGTGTGTGGTTGTTGTTCTCTTTTTTTTTTGTTTTTTGTTTTGATCGCTATGTAAATGGCTGTGAGATGATTTTTATTGTTTTTATTACGCTTGGTGTTTAGCAGTGCGCCCCATTGTTGTTGTCGTGTAGTCGTAGTATTAGTAGTAAGCCATCAGGGTATTTTTTTATTGACTATGTCTGTAAAATTCGAGTAATCGACGTGGGCTGTTGTCGACTGTCGTTTGGGGAACACCCGGTCAGCTGATCCAATTAGCCTGCCGTTTCCACTTTTACTACTGCAGGTAGTAATACATTAGGGAGATTATTTTCGGCTTTTTAATATACTGCTGTCTCTTTATACAGAGGCGATGGCGAAATATATAAGTTTGGAGCTGAGTTTTGTTTATAATAGGCTATTTTATTGACTCAAGTGAGTCGGAAAATGTGTGAATCAACTCCAATTTGTTAAAAAAAAAACTATTGGTCGTTGGAAGAAGGAAAGCTTACTTTTAAGATTATT